TAACCCTAACCCCAACCCAGTCATCTGTGTCCAGAATCCCTGGTCACGGTTTACCTGGTGGAGATGCCAGGAGGTGCCATGCCTCCTTGCCATGGGCTCAGGTGAGGTGCCAAAGCAGCTGGAATCCTGCTCCTTCCCAAACCAGCACTCACCTGCAGGAAAACCCAGGTCACATGTAGGGACGCTGCTGTCTCGCAGCCGGGACTGTCCACCAAACAGTAGCTCCATCTTTGAGTTTTTCGACCACTTGATAGCAGATACCTGGATATGACAGAAATCTAGAAATTACAGATATCTGGATGTCACCTTCCTGCAGGCCTGTGTGTGTCCTGGTAGATGTTCTTCATGTGGCTGTAAGTCACTGTACTCTGGGTCTCACTTGTGATTTCAGATGGCCCTCGTGAGCCATGGTCTCCATGAGGTCATTCAGGGGTTGGATGAAATCGAAGGATCGCCTCCTCAGGAGCAGTGATCTGATGGGTCGTTTGACTTTATGTAGATTCTGTTGTATTTTCACACATTTGTCTAACTCGTGTCTCTTTCTGTTGACATGGTGTCAAATACATGGCAGGCCCTCCCTGAGACCCATCAATTTGTTGGTCCCTTCAGGAGAGAATCTCAGGGGGACTGGGCTCTCAGCGATGCCCCATTTGTCCCCATTGCTTTCCCCTGGACGTCAGCTGGGGGTGGCTTTGCATGGGTAGATGGTGGCCAACCTAAAATACCGTTGTGAAGATGAACTTATTCCTAGTCGTGCTTTACTCTCCAGAAACAAAATCGTGATCTTCTCGTGATTATCTTGATTACAAAGACTGTGTGGACTGTTCAGTTTTTCTGAGACTGGGTTCTTGTGGAGCTCCGTCTTGGAGGCTGATAGCCCAGTTGGCACAGGACTGGCTCTCCTCTGGGCCCCGTGGCTGTGTCACAGGGCAGTCGGCATGCTGGCAGGAGCACTGGTGAGAGGCGGAGGTCCCATGGCAAGTCAGGAAGTATGAGAGGCTGGGGAGTGGCCAGGCACGTTCTTTTATGACAGCCCCCTTGCGACCGCCATCCAGGGTCCCACTGACTGCACTCATCTCCTGAGGGCAGCACCCGGTGGCCTAAATGCCTGTCCTGGGCCCCGTCTCCTGAAGCTCCCTCCACCTCTCAGCAACACCTCACTGGAAGCCAAGCTTTTGACTCGCAAGCCCTTGGGGACACACTGCACTCAGATCAGAGCAAGGACCTCCAACCAGAGGTGGAGAGAGCTAGAAAATGCACGTGCTGGTGTGAGCAGATGGGGCCACCAAGGGAAGAGATTCCCTGCTGGAAGCTCCAGAGCTGTTCCCCGGCCCCTGGTCCTTCCATCTCCCAGGCTACGTTTCTACCGAGACTGGTGTCCTAGCTCTCTCCTTCCTCATCCACAGGTGGCCTGGCACGTGTCCACCCTTCCCAATGACCCCTTTCTCACGTTTTCCTTCAACCCCATCTCCTCCCCTGGTGGGCTCTGGGACATGTCCATGGCTGTCCTCCACAGCTGTGGTCACTCCCTTGCCTATACCACACAGGTGCTCCCACAGGTGCCTGCCTTAGTCACCGTTCATAGATGCACGGATTCGAACTCCTGTTTTGCTGGTACCTAGCCAGGTGACCTCAAGCAAAAGCAAGCCCTTGTCCCCATGGACCTCAGTTTTGCCACCTGGGAAGTGGCTCTCAGGGACACTTCCCCTTGGAGGCTGGATCCTGTGGGAGCCAGCAGAGTGGCACACGACAGAGGAAGCCTGCAGCTGCCACTCTCAGCCACTGCCCGCTGCAGGAGGTTGTCCCACACAGTCTTCGAATGCTCCGGGCCCTTCCCTAACTGCCCACCTTTCTTTTCCAGGGCTGGGAGAGGGTTCTGCCCTCCTTCATCCTGATGGCAGAGCCCATCCTCGGTCCTTAGAGAAAAGTGCCTGGAGGGCTTTCAAGGAGTCCCAGTGCCATCACATGCTCAGACACCTCCACAATGGCGCGCGGATCACTGTGCAGATGCCACCGACCATCGAGGGCCACTGGGTCTCCACAGGGTGAGAGCTCAAGGGTTGCAGGGGGGGCTGGGGAGGGACCAGAAGACCCTC